TAGGAACCCCCTTTTGATTAGAGTCGGACGAAAGTCACGACAATGTTCGTGAAAGTGACGCAAGAGGGATTATGAAGTAGATGGCTGCGTCTGTTCCTAGTTGTCTTCCAGTTTCTTCGGTTTTGACAATCTAACTCAATCAGTGATATACTGATCTTAGAACTCACGACTTTCCTCGAGTTGTCGGGTCCCTCTCCTCCAGCAAACCAGAAGCTTGGGAATTCTTCTTGAACCCGGCCTTAATGACAAAAATTTCGGTCGAATTGGTGTCCATGAAAGAGAAGTATAGGTAATGGAGAGACTAGAACAAGGCCCTATTAGGCGATGGTGGCCTTTCGTGGCAGAAGGCAGGCATCAACAGCGCGATAACTTGCTGAACATGTTTCAAAGCCGCTCTGGCTCTCAAAAGTGCCCATCGCGAGAAAGTGGGTAAGTAAGGCCAGCAACTGCTTGTCTATCGCCGTTTTCATGATACCAGTACTGAGCTTCACTAGAGCTGCTGCATTTAGCGCGAAGAGGGTCCCGTTTTTTCACCACTTGATTGTCGTAGAGAATATTTGGTACCTTCACATGTCAACGGCTACAGTTTTTGCAAGAGTTGCCCTGAAAGAATCTTAAAATTTATTAGAATCCTAACATTACATATAATTTTGTTCAACTTGGAGTGATTCTGTACACTTAGAAAGGATAAGCGCCGCCCGTATTTCCATTTGACAAGGTCAGAAGGCCATACTCTATAAGTAACGTTCATCCTGTGTTTCCCACAAATCGATTGAAGAAACATTCAATGACCTTACTCCAGTCTTGCCCAAAGAGAAATTCCAGGTTTTGGTTTTACGCTGATAAAGAAGCGACTCAGTATGTTGGGCTAGTTTACAGCGTCCGAATTATTTCAGACTCCGATTCTCGGTCTGCTCGTGTTCTTCTCTTTCTTGTTGTGCCTGGACACATGGTCTTCAACTGGCTCATTCGCGTTTTTCACTTTGGTTCTATAGTTCCACCTCATGGCGCTCTCTTCACAAGTCTATACCTCATAGCAGCTCTAACCCAGGTTAGTTTGGACGTGGTGATTTTTATATTTGCTGAAAATGGTTCAATCGGGCTGAGAGGTTTCTAAGTTGTTTTTCAAAGTTTTTCCTTTTTTGCATCTGAGACAAGAGCTATCGCAATGTTATTCGGTTGCTTTTAAATGTTCATAATTTGCTGTGCACTAAGGCAGCGGTGAGGCTTAAGGATTCTTTGTAATGCTAATCTTTCTTTATAAGATTTTTTTGAGGTTTCACGGTACATCGTCGCAATAATCTGAGTTTTTTTTTATGATGTTTTGGTCTTAATATTAAAATCGGTAAGACGCATGTTAGAATCGGCGACTGGCGACAGCGCAGTCGCGGTTGCGCAATCGTGCAGTCCTTGTAGCAAAAGTGCAACGGCGACTGGCAATGGCTCCACCCGCGGTCGATACGAATGTTGACAACGGAGCAAGTGATGAATCCCTACCTGCTGACCGGATTCGCCAGCCGCGTTGCATTTCTGCAACAGCGGTTGTGCGATTGTGCAATTTTTGCATTTTTCAAAGTGCAGTCGCGTCGCTCTCGCGATTATATGTACAGTCGCCGAGTCGAGCATGCCTCTAACGAAGGTAAAATGATATGTGACTAGGATCCCACACCTTAAGGGCACTGTGCAGCAAATCCAGTCCGCAAACATCTTAAAATCTGATGTGTCGTCATTGTTGTTCTTTTAGATGCCCTATAGGAGATTTTTTAGCAGCATTATTCGACATCAATAGGTCTACGTTTAAGCTTGGCTTAGATGAACCTTTTGCTCGAACAGCTCCACGAATTGGGTGTTTATTCGGGTAGTAGTGGCTGTTGAGTGCTCTCGCAGTAGATAGCCCGCGACATAGGACGTAGAGGTGATAGGGTGTAATAAAAAGCGGCTAATTTGGTCGTGACGTAAACATTGCTGAGTAGGCATATGTAGGATACCACTAATCTTCGCATGCTAATCCTCGGTTTCGACTTTAAGGAAGCGGCAGTCGGACTCCCTCATTTCCATTACCGCCCCACCGTGATATTCCTTTTCAATTTGAGACACCTCGCCAGCCTCCATCCACTTTTCCTGGACTGTGAACAACCTCGGAAACGAATGATAATTCTTTTGGGAAATCCCCCGCTGTCCACTCTTTTCCTGGTCACTGGTGCTTTTCGGGCGGAACGATGGAAACTTAGGGAAGATGCTCACTCAAGGTTACGCTTTATCCACTGTTAGCGGGATTCTACACTTTTAAGAACGTTGAGAACATTTCATACGATCTTCTATACGTATTTTTCTGCTTTGAAGGCTTGTCAAAAAATTTGCACGGGGTCATGGATTTTAATAAAGCACCGCCTTTCTGGAGAATGCTCTACACCACAGATGGGTCCCTGGTTCGTGTTGGGTTTGAAATCACATTGATTTGCGGCGCCCATAATGGGCGGCAGGGTGAATATCGGTCGAGGAAATCCTTCAGGGGGTCGTACTTGTCAGGGCTGGGTCATGGGGGTCGTACTCTTGGGGGTCAGTAACAGCAGTGGTATCGTGGTGCAGATAGGTAAGAGGGTATAGCGCAGCAGAAAATGAAAATATCTGAAAAAAACATGATATTAAATATTTCTTTGCAGGTTCACGCTCGCTCGATTCTGCAACTTCGAGTGAAGGTCGGATGCATGGCGTATACCCAGACTAAATCGGATGGTGACAATTGCCCCTTTCCTTATTACATATGTTGGAAGAATGTATTCCAGACACATTTAGAGCGTTGCCAACGAATTACGCTTGCAATTGTGAAGAAGGGAGCGCTTTTTGAGCTGTAAGAATGAGCATCCCTCGATTAGATCCTGCGACCGGCAAATACTCTCCTACAATGTGGAGAATAAGTAGAAGGAAGCTAAACATAATGTTGAGAAGCGCAAACCTTCCGCTTTCCAAAACTGTCTTCTCTTTCCGGAGTTCTTGCAAAAAGAGAGATATTGCCCTTTAAGTGGGAAAAACTCGCATGGAAAATTCGGGATCCTCAACGTCTCTCGACGGGATCTCGAGCAGAGACAATATCTCCTTGAATGGGAAGCTTTCATAGCAATTCCAATACTGCATGATAGTAGCAAATTTAGCTCTATCAAACCCTACCGCGTGATGTTCAAAAGGTTGTCGTACGATGCGAGGATGGCAATCCTTATGCATCGCGATGGTGTAGAAGTTTCGCGTTTTTTTTTTGGTGATTTCAGCAAAATCTGACGCCAGGGACAAGATCGTAGCCGGCAAGCTGCCGTTGTCGGCCATTGATCGATACATTCGGCCGTTGTGATTTTGCGTATGATCTGTTTTAGGGGGGCCTTACCAAGTCCTCGATCTCAGGGGGTCGTACTTCTGCGACCACGCCCTCGACACGATTCTCACCCTGGTTGGGCGGGGTTTCGCTTGCCTCTTACGTGCTCTGTACACCCCTGTCATGGCCCTAACGCCATCCAATCCGAAATTTGTCCCCTTCCGAGCTGCGGTTATTCTTATGGTGATCTAGTTAGTTTGTGAAAGACACACGGCCGGCAGGCAGACATTTTTCTTAAATGCAAATTAAGCTGCGTTGAAACAATATGTAAACATGACAACGTGAACTTTGAATCAATACTCGGGTACAGCACTTCTGGCAAAACAAGAGATCAGGTGAAAGTCCATAACACGTTTGAGTTTTGGAAACGTATCATATCTCACACGGAAGAAGAAAAGCAAGGTTCAGCATGTACAGCCCTCTTTTTTGAGAACTTTGAATTGTTGTTCTGTAGCGGTGGCAGCCGACTTTTGACAGTAAGCTCTTGTGCAGCACGGACAACACATTGAAAAAATCGCAACACCTCGCATATTTAATTAAGTTCCTGTCGGAATTATGAGAAGATGCACAAGGTGAAATCGTTCTTCCTCTTCTAGCGACTTCAAACGTATTTCTGCATCTTTGCTGAAGTATTATTCGCACACTTGCGGAGATCAGAATTGTGCGCCGGACGGAGGAAAAGTGATAGTGCTGAATTGGAGACTAGGGAGTGTGGATAGGGTGTGGTGTGAGATTAGATAGCACAAAAGCGCGGGAGATAGTGTGAATGAGACAGAAGAATCGAATTACCTAATTGGTCGTCGACCTGAATCCTAATCTAATCTACTCTCCCAAGGATCCAATCAATAGGTAGCTAATCTTGTCAGCACAATACCCTACTCTACTGCAATCCTAATATTCTAACGCCTACTATCCTAATTTCCAGAGTCGCAAACCATGAACGCGGCCTAACAGCCTCACTAGGAGTGTCAGTGTGTCTAAGACGCAAGAGGCGTCTATTGCATGACTTGTGTGTTTAAATTATTTTTTGCTTTTTTTACTTACCAGGAACGGATGATTGGTCGAAGTGGCCATATGTAAAGAGACCTACACCGTGGATGCGTTTTTGGACGCTGATCTCGAATCTGCTTTCCAAATCTGCCAAACGATTTTCCGAATGGAGTTATGAAGGAAAGTAGTGCAGCGGTAGTAGTCCGGGTTCACGTGCGAGACGTCGTAGGATCGATTCCCTGGCGGGTTCTCTTTTTTGCCTTCGCTGCAAAATGATTGAAAAAGGCTCCCAACTACCTTACTCGATCAATGCTTGCCTGTAGTTACCCGTGCAAAGACTTTGCGAGGAGTTTCTAATCAGTTTCGGCGGTACTTACTAAGACTGCACATGGAGCCCACAGAACTCTTGGCAGACGTTTTTGCAGCAAACGAGTGTGATATTCGTGTTCCGGAGATTAAAATACCCCTAGGGACAAGTTTGTAGCCAAATTTGAGATTTCGACCAAATTTCGAAATAAGCTGGGTGGGTATCTATCCATTCATCCATCAGCCTATCATCGAAGCCTATATAGCCTTGAGACGATATAAGTTTTTTTGGTTTCTGAAGAGTGTAAAGCAGTGTCTGGTTTTCTGTTCGCATGATTTCAACACCCACACTTTATTATTTTCAAATTTAAAGGGTCGCCGTCGTCCAAAATAGGTCAACCCTGGAACTACCGGCTATGGATATGTAGCATCAATGAGTGACTCGCCCACTTTTTTTTGAAGTTAATTCAAAATCTCGAATTTTTCTAGAAATTGGCCCCAGGAGTTATTGGACTACTTGAACACAGATCTCACATTCGTTCACTCAAAAACGGCTGAAGCGCGCGCTCCGTATACTGGCGCGCCTTAACCTTATGTAGTGGCATGCAAGTTAGGAAAAATTTCGAAGTTATCGACCTCAAACTCATCCAAAAGCAAGTAGGGCTGACCAATGATGAAGGAATCATGTTTCACTACTGCCAAATAGTCAGTCACAAAAATGCAAAAGGAGAAAACACGCGGCGGATCCAAACCACTGACCCCGACATTCCAACAAACCCACCACCTTAACCACTAGGCCACCAGCACCCGATCAAGAGGCTCACTGCTTCGTTCACAAGCCGCTGCTGCTGAGGCCGATTCCTCACTGTGTTAAACTGTGTGAGGGAACAAAAACCTCCGTAACTCCGTTCAGCGAATCGTTTGGCAGATTTGGGAAGAAGATTCGAGATCAGCGTCCGAAACCACATACCATGATACTTGTCTCATTTCATATGGCCACTTCGACCCTTCATCCTTCCCTAGTAGTTAGCTAAATTTCCCCATTCTCAATGTAAGATCAAAAACATGGTCCCCGCAGTACAAAAATGAAAATGCATCTTTGCCTTTATATGCGCATGTGCACACGCTGCAAAGGCACCTCCTCTCTACCGCCCGCTCCCTCTCCCTTAATACCTCGTTGAGAATGACACTGTTGTTAGGGACCTGTCGCAAAAACGACAACCGTGAAGGAAAACCCTGGGCAAATGAAGCTGTTCCTCAGGCTATAGGAGTTACGAAATGTGTTTACTACAATGCAGCTTGGTCATGATCATATAACACCTTTCAATCGATTCTGCAACTTCGAGTGAAGGTCGGATGCATGGCCTATACCCAGACTAAATGGATGACAATTGCCCCTTTCGCAACAAGGTAATTTCGTAGACATAACGTTTCATACTTACTAGGTGCAACCCTCCCATGTTTCTGGCGAGAACTATCACCTCATTTGCTTGGAAGTGCAAAAACGCTGCCTACTGCATCGGCTACTACAATTATGCTATTTTCCGTACATTAATGTTGTCGACAGTTGCTCCGAAAAAACATGTGAAAATATGAAAATACTAAGAAAATTGTAATTCTGTAATTGAGAGGGCTGCTTTCTAAGTGTTTGTTTTAGGTACTTATTTTACTTTATATATGTCAATATATGGTTGCTTTGATGTGGACATGGCGAATAAATCCCGACAACTCCGCGATACCATATCTCACTGCTCTTGGTGACGTACTTGGCACTTTGTTACTGTTTCTACTATTCTTATTTCTTGACGGCATTGATTCCAAGGAGATACTAGTAACTTGAAAGTCATAGAAAGATTAGTTACCTGAGAAAGAAGCAGCATAATAGAGAGTTAATTTGAATCGCTCTTTCGTTGTGAATTGCATTTGCCTCATAATGTATTGATTGTGGATACAGAGATTCATGCCTTAAGGTGTACTCCTCTTGAAGCGTTGCTCTGGTGTTTTTATGTTTTTTTTTTCTGAATTAACTAATGCTTTCGTGAAATTTTAACCTAGTCTTGAAATCTATCTGCCTGTATATAATTTCATGCATAATATCGATGCTGTGATGCTCTTTATTTGTAGGTAACGGTGTTTTAACGGGATAATAAAGGTGATTAATATTTCCTGTTATGTATATTCTTGTGTGTTTGTATATGAATACAGGGATTTCCTTCCCAACTTTTGTTTTCCTATTTATTGTATTGAAGTCAAACTGCGCGAGCGCTATTTGCTCTTAATCGGTTTGTTGTAATAGCTGACATATCTGTTTTCAGTGGTATGGTCAAGCTTGGCGACAGAGTTAGCATTGGTGGCTATGGTGCCGTCGTTCGATACATAGGAGAGGTCTCTGGTCACCCAGGAATGTGGGTGGGAGTCGAATGGGACAATCCAGATCGTGGAAAGCATAATGGTGTCGTGAATGGTGTTCGATACTTCGAGACCAGGTTAGTACTCATTCCTCCTTTTTTCCCAAATTACAGCGCGATATTTGGAATCTCGCTATTGAACGTAATATAATGCGTATGTTGCACTATATTTTCCAATGCTTCAGATATGTTGACATGAAGTGAAGTTTGAAAAATTTTGGCATCTTTTTGTGGCTTCAAGCATAGTAACTGTTAGTTCGTACGCTTTCCAAGCTGGAACCAAGATGGGCTAGTTTTGAATGGCCGATGTCAGACTTTGCGATTGGAGCGATTTTGCACCAATTGCAGGAGCGACGGATCGCTCCAAAGTGCGAGCGACGGGAGATTTACCCCGCCGACCACCGATAATTCGGCGCCATCAGTCGTAAATCTCCCGTCGCTCGCACTTTGGAGCGATCCGTCGCTTGAGCAATTGGTGCAAAATCGCTCCAATCGCAAAGTCTGACATCGGCCAATGGGCTGTTTCGGGTGTGGGTACTTAGGACAGAACGCGACTTTTTCGCTCTTCGCAACGCGACATCGCGCGGCAGGCTGGCGCACCCGTAGCGAAAACAACTACGGTATATAAGAACGCGCGATTGGAGCGCGATATTTGTGTCGGCTTTGATTGCGACAAGGAGTTTGAAGCTTAATAGCCATGGATTTGATAATGAACGAGGAAATGGTAACCAGAAGTGGACCGCTAACTAGCAGTGAAGAGGGAGGTAGGTTATTTTTGCAGAGATGGATGGTAGAGCTTCTGGAGAACCTGGAAGAGGAATGGTTGATGGACGTTTGATGAGACGACTGTAAACTTCTGCATAGGGGTTATTTGGGGCCCTGATCATGAATATGACACTCATTTTTCCCATTCGTGCTGTTTAACGCATACTTTCTGCTTTACTAAGCTTTCTCACCTACAGCGCCTACGACTAAGCATAGGGGAGGGGAGTGAAACTCCGGAGTGGGTAAACCACGCACCGTGTGGCAAAAGTTGGAGTGTGTCACACCACAGGGGAATGGCCTACCCACTTTGGAGCTACACTACTCAAAGGCTCTCCTACTGCGATCTAAGTAGTGCGAGGGCG